CCTCCCCAAACAGCCTGGCCCCCCCCCCCCCCCCCCCCCCCCCCCCCCCCCCCCCCCCCCCCCCCCACCCCCCCCCCCCCCCCCCCCCCCCCCCCCCCCCCCCCCCCCCCCCCCCGGGACTCCCACTCCCTATCCAACCGCCCTCTGCTCCTCATCCCCTGCCCACCCCTTCCTGGGACCCCCCACCCCAACTGCCCCCGGGATCCCACCCCCTTATCCAACCCCCCCTCCTCCCTGTCCCCTGACTGCCCTCCCGACCCCTATCCACATCCCCGCCTCCTGACAGGCCCCCTGGGACTCCGACTCCCAACCCTCCCTGTTCCCCATCCCCTGATCGCCCCCCCAGAACCTCCACCCCATCCAACCGCCCCCTCCTCCCTGACTGCCCCCAGGACTCCAGCTCCCTTACCCAACCCCCCCGCTCCCCGCCCCCTTACCAGCAGCAGGAGTTCGCAGCCGCAACACCCGGCCAGAGCCAGCTGCGCTGCCCAGCAGGAGCGGCGGGCCAGAGTGCGGCCTACGCGGCGGTGTGGCTGCAGGGGAGGGGTCGGCCGGGAGCTCAGGGGCTGGACAGGACAGTCCAGCGGGCCAAATGTGGCCCGCGGACCGTAGTTTGCCTATGTCTGATTTAGGGTCTAGTACAACGCTTCAGTTAGGAAGAGAAATTGGTGACAGTCAGATATTTCTTTGATGCAGTTTTGTTTATTAACAAAGAACGTACATGTCTCTGAATGCAGAAGCAATCAAATAGAAGGAAACAGCTTCTTTTGCTCACATCACCAAGAACACTCTTTTCAGCCTACCCCCCTGACCCAAAAACCTCTCCCCAGGTTTCTCCCAGGGTCTGCCCTTGTGCTTTCAATTGCGCCTTCCAGCTGTCTCCCTCTCTGTCTTTTGTCTGTTCTGCCTACTCCCCCACTCCTGAAAACAATACTCAGCAAAAGCTCCTTGGTGGAAACACATACTCCTCTTGTCTTTGGTGGGGGCTTATGTTTACAGATATGTTAAATGAAGGGTGAGTTCACATCTATCAATCTCAATGGAGGTTTTAACTCAACCCACAACAAGATTTCATCCAGCTAATTATTGCACACACTAAGATGAAAGAGACAGGCATTTTAATAATTTTGAACCATTTTCAATCTTTCATCTGTACTTAAGAAACAGAATACTGCATGGTTTGCAATGCTTCTATGTAAGCTTTTCCATACTTGCTATGGTTAAAAATAAAGACAATTTAGATTTCAGTGAGTGGCATACTAGTCTTTGGCTATGTAAATAATTTCAGAGATATGTATGCTTTAATTGGGACAGTCTTTGAGGACCATTCGGGAAGCTAGAGCTAGTGCAGAATACAGTTCCTGCTGGTCTTAGCTGTGAAAATCATGCCACACTAATACTACAAAGACTTTCTTCCCATTTGCTTCTGGATGCAATCCTAACTTTAATTTTGTCCTCTAAAGCTCTTTATGATTTATAGATTCATAGATTCTAGGACTGGAAGGGACCTCGAGAGGTCATCGAGTCCAGTCCCCTGCCCGCATGGCAGGACCAAATACTGTCTAGACCATCCCTGATAGACATTTATCTAACCTACTCTTAAATATCTCCAGAGATGGAGATTCCACAACCTCCCTAGGCAATTTATTCCAGTGTTTAACCACCCTGACAGTTAGGAACTTTTTCCATTCCAGACTACCTGAGTTTTTTTCCCCCCTGTGCTGGGAAACCTTTTAATGGTTATTTCTTAATACATGCTGTGTATTATGTTAAAAATGCACCAGATAATATGGATTTGACACATTTTATAAATCCAAAAAATAGATATATCTTTTCACATACCTTTACCAATATATCCTTGACAACTTGGTTACTGTCATTATGTACGCTAATGTAACTGGAAAAGGTCTCTCCCAGAAATATATTTCTGTTCAAAGAAAATAGTACTTTTTAACAATGTGATTCTCAACAAGTCAAATCCATTAGAGTCCATCTTTAATTATTGTAAATGTTTTATTTTAAAATTCTATAATGATCTTGTCTATGCTATGACCAGTTCAGTTCCATCAGTGCTAGCAATATCAAGAATCTGATCACAGATGGGCCACTGGCATTTTAAAAACTGTCTCATCTAACCCTGCTCAGAACATGTCTAATTGACACTGTGCTCTAATTCCTTGCAGCAACCTCTCTCTACTCTAGGAATCCCAACGTTGTTACCACTAGCGGAGCTGAACCAGACGTAGTAATAGTGGGAAATTTTGCAGTGCCTGTTGTAATCAAGGCCAATGGAACTGCATGTATGAATAAAGTTACTCACATACGTAAATGTCTGGAAAATCTGGCCCTAAAAATACCCTAGCAATTTCCTATTATACACAATTTTTTTAATTTTAACTATCCAAAATAAATAAGTAAATAAATAAATAAACAAACAAACAAACGATCACGTCAGATTTCTACTTGAAAATGACAATCTCAGTGATAGCTGTTAAACTAAAGTTCCAGTCCTGCAATGAGATATACAGAGGTGGTCCCTTAAAACCTTAAATGTATGTGCACTGCACCAGTTTAAAGTGAGGCTTACACCTGTGCAACTTAATAAAGTAAATCACTGGAGTAAACTGTGTTGGTATAAATCCTGCTTTTCGTTGGTGCAGCATATCTTAGGGGTGTGTACATGAATGTAAATTTCTCTAATGCAGGCACATTACTAAGGGACTGTCTGCTATAAAGGGTTATATTTCACCTGGAAGTTAAAAATTGCTGCACATACTGCAGGGCACTACACAGTGCCATGCTGTCTACTGTCTCCCCTAGACCCTATTACACAGAGAGGCAGGTACGTATGGCAGAATACATTCAGGCTATATTACACCAGTACTGTGTGTTTATACTTCATAAATAATTTCCTGTTATTAATGAAACAAACAAGTTATCCTCAGTCATCACCGAAATGCTGCAATGTATATTTGTAAAAAAAGGAAAGGGAGCTAATAAGCACAAATAATCCAAGTTCCAGGATTCGTGTAGCAATAATCTTCATACCTTACAGTTGCTTATTTGATTCTTACCCAAAGTTCTGAGGCAAAGTCAACATTTCTCCTAGCATTAAAGTTTCTGCTCCTTTTACAGTGGAAGGGTCATCTTTCATGAGTTGATTCAACAGATCTCCTGTAATAATATATAATGGCATAGGTCAAAAATATTTGCATAAACTAGATCCTTGCCTACATATAAATGACATGTTTACTTCCTATGTATTTGGAAATTGATAAGACAGTGCTGCTTTTGAATGTTATTGATATTCTGACTGCTTAATTTAAATTATTTTCCTTTAGTGACCCCAGAATAAAGGACAGATTGAATAGTTTCATGTTAAACTCTTTATTGCTTCTTGAATTACACTCATGCTAAATTCTAAGCATTAGTAGAGTTTTGTTTGTTAGTTCTTGAACAGGGTGTGCAGATTAGGAACTTTGTGATTTTGTAAAATTAAGTTATAAATAAAAAGGCACCTGCAGCAGCAAAAGCTATCATAATCATTATACACTGATCTTAATACTGCTCAGTCTTTCATATTAGATGTAGCACCAGTTTCATCTCGTATATTAATTCAGCAAAAATATAATCTTTCAATCTTACATAAAATATCATGCTTCCTTAGAGAATGAAAAGCAAGCAAAACTGGATTTTGCCTGAATAGCTATAGATACATTAAAAAAAAATTCTGAGTGACCAAGGCTTTGAGAACTGACTTGTCTGTGTTATATTTTCCTCACTGAGGTAATACAAGTTAGCTGGAATTTTCAAAAGCATTCAGTGTTGGTCTAACTCTACTCCCCTTAACACAGTGAGAATTTCTGAAAATTCCACCTGTTGTGTTTAATAATTCAGTCAACAGATACACAGAAGGGCTCAATCCCAAAAACATATCTCAGGATAAACATTAATCTCAATCGGAATTCTGCCTGCATGAGACCTACTGCACAGCATATCAGAAATAGCTGACCCATTTATCCTTCTTTACTTTACTCTATTTACATTCCTATACAACTTTCTTTATTTTGTCTTTTTATCCTGATATGTGTTTTTGAAGGTACATTGCCATTGCACTGGAAGGAGATGCGGGAAGGAGAATGACAGTTGCTGGGATGGGGAGGGGGAAAAAAAATCTTTAGGCTGCATGGCACCTCTCTCTCCACCTTGGCTGGCCTCTAGAATATAGTCAATAACTGGGGAGAACCCAGCAATTTCAAGGGGAGAACTTTGAAGGCTGTGCTAACACCAAAAGACAAGGGAATTCATCAAGGCAACAAGTCCTGAAAAATCATTCTCAACTGCCCATTGAAATAGAGTGCTGGGTAAACTAATGGCTGTAATGAGGGAGTAATACAGAATGCCTGGTCTCCAGATATGGACGGTAATTCCATGCTTCTATTTTCTCCCCAGTGTGCATTTGGTTCTCTGAAACCTTCCCTCCATATACAATCATCTCAAAACACAACACCCAGTGGAAACTGTTTTTGATGATTTTCCTAATTCCTCAGATTTTTAGGGCACATGTTTATAGGTTGTCCACCAAGCTTCCAAAGCCTTGGAGTGAGAACTGTGGTGGTGAACTTTGCTAATTTTTTATGGCCATTACAAGGGGAATGTTTACTTCATATAATACATTGTAACCTCTCTGACTGCAGAGGTGTGGTGTAGAAGTCTCAGATGCGCATTCTGGGCGGCTTTAATCCTTTTTGCTTTTGTGTGTCAGGATGAAACTCCAATTTATGTTGCTTACTAAATTAGTCTAAACGTTCTCAGATGTCTTTGCCTTTCTAGTACCATCCACCCTTTTCATCCTTTTTTGTGTTCTGTATTCATTAGATTGTAACTCCTCAGGGGATGAAACTGCTTTTCTTTTAAAAAATGTGTTAAGTAGAGCAACTGAACACCTCTGATGATATATAAACAATAATTAATTAATTATCAGGAGATCATCATATACCTGGCAAGTCTCTCTCTTCACAAGTCACTGGAATATTGGTGAATAACGTAGGTTTGGTTAACCTCATCACTGTGAATTCAGAAAGGAAAGGAAAAGTTAATGCAAACATAGTATTTAAAAGATCCAAAAATATTTAGTAGTTTTAGTAAAAAACAAAAACAAACCACCACATTTTTCATTTTCTTGTTTTGAAGTCTGATTGTATCACCCTCTTTCAAACTATCACATTACCAGCACTTCCTGGTGAATATTCTTGGTCAGTATGGAGTTAAAGTTTAATAGGGATCTAGGTCATTGCATACAATTGATTTCTTGTACACCTCTACCCCGATATAACGC